GACAGACAGACAGACAGACAGACAGACAGACAGACAGACAGACAGACAGACAGACAGACAGACAGACAGACAGACAGACAGACAGACAGACAGACAGACAGACAGACAGACAGACAGACAGACAGACAGACAGACAGACAGACAGACAGACAGACAGACAGACAGACAGACAGACAGACAGACAGACAGACAGACAGACAGACAGACAGACAGACAGACAGACAGACAGACAGACAGACAGACAGACAGACAGACAGACAGACAGACAGACAGACAGACAGACAGACAGACAGACAGACAGACAGACAGACAGACAGACAGACAGACAGACAGACAGACAGACAGACAGACAGACAGACAGACAGACAGACAGACAGACAGACAGACAGACAGACAGACAGACAGACAGACAGACAGACAGACAGACAGACAGACAGACAGACAGACAGACAGACAGACAGACAGACAGACAGACAGACAGACAGACAGACAGACAGACAGACAGACAGACAGACAGACAGACAGACAGACAGACAGACAGACAGACAGACAGACAGACAGACAGACAGACAGACAGACAGACAGACAGACAGACAGACAGACAGACAGACAGACAGACAGACAGACAGACAGACAGACAGACAGACAGACAGACAGACAGACAGACAGACAGACAGACAGACAGACAGACAGACAGACAGACAGACAGACAGACAGACAGACAGACAGACAGACAGACAGACAGACAGACAGACAGACAGACAGACAGACAGACAGACAGACAGACAGACAGACAGACAGACAGACAGACAGACAGACAGACAGACAGACAGACAGACAGACAGACAGACAGACAGACAGACAGACAGACAGACAGACAGACAGACAGACAGACAGACAGACAGACAGACAGACAGACAGACAGACAGACAGACAGACAGACAGACAGACAGACAGACAGACAGACAGACAGACAGACAGACAGACAGACAGATATATATATATAGATATAGATAGATAGATAGATAGATAACGAATGGATGGATAGTAGCTTGTTGTACATTCCAATGATGAGATTGTACTTCATCGTACTGCAGGAGTAATTTTCATAAAATCACAAATGACTAAAAGTTCCCCTGCTTGCAAATTGTTTTCCGTTGTTTTTAAGAATTTAGATTGTTCTGTTTTAATGAAATCTTTGAGTAATTTTTCACAAAAATATGAAACAAAATCTTCAGGCTCGTTAGAAATAGTTTGTATATCACATCTCTCAGTAGTTACCCACTGTTCGAATGACAGTTGAACAATCATTTTTTCTTCTAATTGCTGTGTTAAAACATCCTCAATTGACGAAAAGTCTGGACAATCCTCACCACATATAAGATAACAATATGCTGTTTTTCAGTCAGACTTTAAGTCAAATCTTTTGTATGCTTCTTTAAGTGTCGTCATCAATAACCTTTTCTGTATTGCTTTCCGTTCTCCATCGTTTTTCACTGACACGTAGTCTCTCTGGCCAGGCATCACCCTACTTGTTTCATCGTCCTCAAAAAATTGAACAACAAGTTCCTTCGTTGCATCATTTAAGCCATGGCCCGATCTTCTGTGAACTGCTGAATGTGCTCCATCAGCTTCAAATAATTCTTTAGCTGCTGTTGCGAAGTATCTTGTGGTGTTAAATTCATCCATTATTTTTTGTATTGTCCATGACTTGGGCAACACAGTTAAAATCTGTAGTTTTTCACTCCTTGTGGTATCTTGTCTGCCAAATTTTTCTTTCAATTGAAGAATTATTTCTTCAAAATCCTGTGTTGCACTTGTTTGGTCCTCCAACGGTCCTAGTTGGAAAAGATGCTCGATGTTAACAGATCGCGAAAGTTCATCATCAGTTGTTGCAGTTGTGCCACTGATATTGTTGATGATATCGTTGACAGGCTGCGTAATTCAGGCAAAACCCTTCCAACAACAGTTTCCGAGTTTTCAGCGATGATTTGTTTTTCACCTCTTCTAGCCCGTCTTTCAACTTCTCGATGGCAAGATCCGCAGATGCGTAAATTGGAATTCATTGTTTCTCTGGAATATCCAATCGTGTTCAAGTTCTGTTTGGTATTTTTATAAAATTTATATTGTATTACAAGCTTACCTTAACAGAAACGAAACTTTGTATAACAGGACTGAATCACCGTCCTTCAAACTAATTCCATTTTCCACAGATAACGACTTAGACTGCTTACTGTTAGTGACTGATGAAGATATGCTTGGGTAGCTCTTTAAATATCAGTTTTTGCTACCGAAATAAATATTCTTACCAAGTTGCTAGGCATCAATGAAGAATTAGATGGTACCTAAGTATGCAATTAGGTACCAGACATTCAGTGACTTGATTTTCAACGCTTGTTGTATAGAGACTTGTGCGTCTGATTGAAAAATTGTGGACAGCAAAGTTTAAGGAAATGGATTGGGCTTTTCGTTGAAAATATTTTCAAGGTTAAACACTCACGAACAACACCTCAAAAGGGTGAAAATTGCTCAAATTATGCGATAAGAGAATTTTAACCTACGAGTATCTCGAAAATAACAACATTGGGCAATTTAAGCATTAGAAGCTTTTTTGTTGTAAATTTAATGTGTTTTAATAATAACACCATTTCAAAGATATTCTATAACTGTAGGTAGTATTTTGGAAAATAGTACTTTTTCCAATAATTCATAACTTTTTTGTTTATGAATTGTCCAGCAAACGCACATTGTCAATAAGTAGCACTTTATCTAAACTACAATATAAATAAAAAAAAATAAATAGAAAAAAATATATGCGATTGGAGCAGTTTAATTTTTTTTATAATTTTGATTTTTTTGTAAATAACAAAATATTTTTCTACAGTGTATATTTTTTCTTGAAAAGCAACAACACTTGTCCGCAACTTTTCTATTGATGCGTATCATTTTTGCATTAGCCCTTTTCAAGCGTTAGTCGTGTACAAAACTAGGGAACCAAGTATGTAAAATGACATTTTGGACAGTAATAAACAACTGTGTAAAATAACAAGTAATTCTATAAACATCGATCCGAAACAATTTGCGAATCTGTGTGGAACTACTCTATTAGCTTATTGCGTGCTCTCAACTTTAGTGTTCTAGATGCACTACCACAGTTATTAATTGAGAGTTTTCGATGCCTGTACCATTTTTGCATTGGTATAATTGTATGGCAAGTCCAATCATACTTCTATGCCCAGGGAAGTCGAGAAATTTTCCATCCCGAAAAATTCCTTGACCGGACCGAGAATCGAACCCAGCCACCTCCAGCATGGTGTTGCTTTGTAGCTGCGCCTTTACCGACTGAGCTAAGGGAGGCTCCAATCTTTAAAACCATGATAAAACTTGCTGGGCTGGAACTTATTCCGGAAATCCTGAAAACTTCCCCTAAAACCTTAATGGATTTCCTTTTTCACAGACATCCTGGAGATTATTTTTACTGAGATATTGTGCAATAAACCCTACCCCCACCAACCCATTGAACTGGAATTTTGGTTGCTTGTTTTATTCAAACTGTACATTTATCTTATAGTTTTTTTGTAAAAATCCTCTGTGCTTCCCTCTTTACAATTTAAGAAGCAAATAAATAATGTTAGGTATTTATGGCCAATTTAGAAAATGGATACTTTTTCGGAAAATCCAATTGAAAAATCCGATATTGTGCTAGAATAATGTTTTATTCATCTTCTGCCAGCTCTTTTGGCCTTTAAAAATTATCATAGATCAACCATAATTGTACATAACCTAATTCGAACATCAGAAGCTAAGGTATAACCACAAATGATCAGTTCCACGCCAAATGTCGAATCGATCTGACGGACCTCTACGATTTGCATGAAACTTTGTGTAATTGTTTTATGTGGGTAATCAATGACATTTGAGCTACCTTGAATTTTGCAAAAATCTTTAAAAAATGGCGTATTCGAGATTTTTCAACAACAACAACTCGAAAACGTCGCTTCTAAGTGAAATGGCGTCTGAGACAAAGTTGTACGTACAAATCATTCCTTTTCAGGAAAAAATAAAGGGCATATAGTCATAGCCACTGCAGTGATAGATGTCACTACATTCAAAAAAATAATAATAAGAAGAAAAGTATCCACAGTGGAAAATTTCAATAAATTTTGTGTACCAAATTCTTAATAGTGGTTAAAACTAAAAGCTTATGATAAATAATGCCTTCTAAGAAAGTTTCACGTTGAACACCAAAACATTAATAAAAATCCTTAAACAACAACTTTTGGACGAATTTTTAAACTTTTTATTTAAACATATTTTTAGTGAATACTGCGTAAAACCATTTTGAATGTCTTAAAATGGATTCCAGCGCAAAATTTTACGAAAAGAATGTTAGGACAAATAGTTCAAAAATGTTTGTAAAAGATGATGTTTAGGAATTTTCGTTAGTTGTTCATTGCCCATCTTGATTTTTTTTAAGAGGTAAATTTTTTGCTCTCAAAGTTTTAACCATTTTTTTAAAAATGTTTACCCAAATTTACTTTAAATTTTCTTTCATGTATACTTTTTCTAAAAATTTGTCTCAGACGTCATTTCGATTAGAAGTGACGTTTTCGAGTCATGATTTGCTGAACTCGCATACCCCATTAAGGCTGAATTTGAGCTCAAATGTGAATGATTGACCATAACAAACAATTGTGGAAAGTTTCCACCGGAGAAGGTCGAGCCTGAAATTCACTTTTTTGTTTTGCAATTTGGCCTGGAAATGGTCAAACACTCTTCCTACCAGCAGCTAATCTAGTTGCCTCATGACTAACCGCCTTCGTGTAAATAGCTTATTGTTCTAAATTCCACTGTTCACATTCCACTTGTGTCCCGAAATCGCATCTTTCTTGTTCTTACATTTCCTATTATTATCCCCTACGGGTCATCACTCATACGCTGCTCCAATTTCTTCCCCCTTCGACCAAACCACGCACAAACAAACAAACACACACAACCAGTCCAAACTGAACTGCGAAGTGCTTCTGGATGACCTGGCGTTCGAAGTGCGATGGGCCGTCGCCGGCGAGAGCATCGTCATCCAACTGGTAGCCAAACTGGGTAAGTAGCATCATCATTTTCCTTTTCGACTCCCATCGTAGAACGGTTCTTAATTGGTGTGGTACCGTCTCGACCGTGACTTGCCAAAATCAAAACCACTTCAAACTGCGGAACAGTTGTTCATTATCTAGCCTTGATACGAATGCAAATCCGAACGGCTCTCGTTACGGTTCTCCAATTAGGCTCAATTGGGAAATTTCGTAACCGAGTCGTCGTTCGTCACTTGACGCAAAGGTCACTGGGGCAGTAATACTTATACCTGGCTAGTGGCGAGAAAGTGCTGACGAGGGTATCACGTAATCGAGATCGCGGGCGCGCGCGAACACGTCAAAACGATGTCATTCTCCTCCCATAAACAGCGAGACGCAGCTCAATTTATTACCCGCGCTCAACACCCGGCGGTCTCCGAGGTGATCGTTCGTGAGCGCAGTTTAACTGCTTTATGCACTCTCGTGACCTGTATCCAGCGCAAAAAAAAAAATGAATACACACAGAATGTCGAGGGGTATGCATAACGACATTGTAATTAAAGTCCGTTGACTTCGTTGAAAGCCGCTGGTTATCTAATTGTTACCTAACAGCTTCACCCTGGCGATAAATAATGATGATGATGATAGCGACTGACATGTTCCCATTCTCTTTCCTCTCCTTCCCATGCCTTTCAACACAGAGGATGGCGAGTACATGTCGTTTGGAGTCTCCCCGGATCATGCCCATAGCGTGATGATCGGAGCTGACGTAGCGGTCGTTTGGGTTGACAAGGCTACCGGAAAGGGATACGCTCAGGACTACTACCTGGATGCCAAGTCGCAATGTTCCGGAGCTCGGGGAAGCTGCCCAGACACGAGGATCACTGAGAACAGTAGCTCTATCCGGCTGTTGAACGCTGCCATGGTTAACGGATACTCGATTGTGACCTACCAAAGGCCTCTGAAGGCGTCCGATCACCTGGATCTACCGATTTTCACCAATGGATCTCAAGCAATCATTTGGGCTATCGGCCCACTGAACCAGCGTTACGAGGTCTCTTTCCACTCGCAATACTTGAAGAACACCAAACAGGTGGACTTTGGTCGTCAACCATACTGGAACTGCCCGACACCCGAGGCGGACCAGCAGAAGCACCAGGAGAATCCGCAGAAGTTACAAAGCCTGGAACCGAATCGTCGCGCGGATGCAATGAAGCGTCCGAACACTCCGGCTACGGCTCGACCACCAGCGAAGGCCGGCGCTTGGGAAATTCCTCCAGTCCAATGCTACGAACCGGAGGACGGAGTATTCTACGCACAAATGGGACCCACTGGAGGCAAACAAGGATACCCGGCAATCACTGGTGAGTAACCCAAATTTGCTGCCGATTTACTAGTCTCATGACAAATTTCTACCACAGGTCATGTTGGTTGGGGTATTTCATGGTACATCAATGGACTGCTCATCCCGGAGATCAATGTGGTTCGTGGAAAAACCTACACGTTTGTGGTTGAGGGTGGACATGACCCGGAAACACCAGCCAAGTATCATCCATTCTACATTACCGATGATTCCGTTGGAGGCTACGAGCACCAGGAAGAGGACGTTCGAAAGGTAGGTGCTTCTTTCGTTGCTTTCTTGAAATTTTAATACTTATCATGCTTCTTTAACGCAGAACATCCGCATCTTCGCCGGAGTCCACCAGACCCGAAATGGTCAACTGATGCCAACGGGCGTCGGTCGTCTCTGCAATTGGACTCCAAATCCCGATGGTCCACCAGCTGATTCGTACCCGTCGTTCGGAGCATACCAACGCAGCCTCACCCTGAAATGTGACTCAGGAGAACCCGGAGTCATCTCCTGGACACCGGATGCCGACACTCCGGACACCGTCTACTACCAGTGCTTCACCCATCGCTATCTCGGATGGCGCATCAATGTTCATGATTCGTGCGATGTGGCAGCCCCAAGCGAGATCGACGAAGTCTATGTCGATCCGAATGAGGAAGGTATCAACGCAGAGCCTTCCATTCGACACGAATCGAAACTATTGCCGTCGGATTCGTTCCTTCAGCAGCACGAGAATTTCGTGCACAAGAGTGACAACGAACTGATCAAAAATCACAAGATGACCCCGGATCAACCGACGGAGAGCTTCAAGCTGGATCTGGAGAATGATCCCGAAATGTCCAAGATTATCGAAGAAGGCATTCGAGCCGCTGAAGACCTTGAAGAGAAGCTCAAGAGCAATCAGACCTATGCGAACCACACCGTCAACGAACATCAACCTCTAACTCAATCGGAGATCATGCACCACGGTAAACCGATTCTGTCGTCCTCAGGCCTGCCAGTTTACCTCCGACCGCCAAACAGTGGACCCATGTTCCGACCCGTAAAGCTACCCATGCGACGGCCGATCGCCGTAGAAAGACGCCCTGTCAATGGCCGTCCCAATCGTCCGTACAACATTCCACAACCCTCCATGATCATCAGCCACTACCAGAAACCGGTCAACCCTCTGATGCGACCATTCATGCCCAAGTCCAAACTACCCATGAAAGCGATTGCCCCGATCCTTCTTCTGGGAGAACCCACCGAAATCAAACCATTTAGAAAAGGCCTTCCACCACCACAGTCACAAGGGCCACAGCAAATGGAAATGATGCTAATGAAACCGGCCAAATCCGTCCCGTATATGGTCCCCGATGTGTCACCGTACCTCACCATGAATCTCAAGAAAATCGAACCTGCTCCAATCACTCTCCCGATCCGACTGACCAAGCGACCCATAATGAAGGAACCCCTGAACATTAAACCCATCTTCAAAATACCTTATGACGTCCACGAGAACAGAGCTTCCTCTGATTCGATGTCAAGCAGTGGCTTCGAACCGAGCTCCGTAGTGGTGGAAAGTGGCTTCAAACCGATCCATCGCCGAAATGGAGTCATCAACGCTGAGTACGACGACCAGATGCGTCATCACGGAAACATGATTCAACGGCGACAGGACTACGACATTGATGAGGCGATCGAAAGCGATGCGCTAATGATCGGCAGTGGAGAACCACAGAGGCAGGCATTTGAACCGATGTTCATTCCATCACCACTAGACAGTATGGCTATGGCACATAAGTCAGCCGAGGCGCAGGAACGGAAGGATGCAATGGATAGATTGACTGGAGATCTGAGGGAAATGAACGTCGAAGAAGGTGAAGACAAAATGGCAATGGCTGACGATCGAGTTGATTCGTTCTACCTACCCCCCACGACGACGCAAAATGTTGTTAAGGTCTACCCAGAGGGATCGGTCGTTTCCTATGATGGTAAAGCCGTGTTGGATGTGTCCTTGCTGAACTCGCCAAGCAACGTCCGGCAAGAAGCGATAAAATCCGTTTCCAACACGGAACAATTCATCCGCAACACTCCTCAGTTCGGACCGTTCCGTGGTGAAATTCCACCGATTTCCGACTACGTTGCCCCGGACTCGCACCCGATCTACGGGGTCCGTGGACCGAACTCCGTACAGACGCCAGTGTCCGAATACGCCAACCCCCTCGTTCCCGGCGGAATCAACCTTCAAGATAGCAAAGACCTTAGCGTGAAACCGATCTCCACGAAGCTGTCGATCATCAAACCAGTGGAAGAATATCCAGAAGAATCCCGGAGAAAGCGAGAGGCTCACCACCATCCCGATCATCATGGAGACAGCCACGATGACGGCTGGGAGGAGCAAGGCAAAAGTGCCAACAGTGCGACGAACACGATGGCAACTCTGCTCTCCGCAGTTACTCCCCTAATACTCCTCCGAAGAGCGCTGTAATATCCCACCATCTCGCAGTGCGTCTTGCTTAAAATCTTGTTTTTGGGTTAAGTATTGTTAGATAAGTTTTATTTAAAAAAGCACTCGCTAACGTGAAAGTGCTACAAAATTGTGCTAGAAATTTTACACACTGTAAATAATAATAAAGATGCCGTGCGATGGCGTTCCACTTAGATCTTGAGTCTTCGCTTGATCAGATTGATGACCTCCTGTTGATCCGTCAACCGAGCGTAATCCAGTGGCATCAGCCGGTTTTTGTCACGAATCTTCAACCGGCACTTCCTCTCCAATAGGTGCTTGATGATCTCAGTGCTGGCATGCATGTAGATTGCCCGGAAGATCAACGTCCAACTGCAGCGATCGCGTGCCTCGGTGCTACCACCGTGCGAAAGTACAAATTTGAGCGTGTGCAGGTCGTTAGTGTCGATTGCATAGTGCCCGGCAGTCATTCCGATGCAATTTCCGGCATTAATATCCGCTCCGTGTTCGATCAAAAGTCTAGCGATCTTGATGTTTTTGTTGTAGATGGCCAACTGCACAAACGGAGATTGTTATCTTAATAATATGATTTTTTTTTCAAACCGTCAATTGTCATACTCACATGCAACGGAGTCTCCGAATTGCTCGGCACTCCGAGATTGACATTCGCTCCAAATTCCAGCAGCAAATCGATCACCTCCAGATTGTTGTTCCGCACAGCTTGATATAGCAACGTTTCCTCATTAACCGGGACGTTGACCAGCTCCGGTTTGATACTCAATAGCTTCCTTATCAATGCCGGTTGACTCTTTTTCACCGCCCTGAAAATTGACATCGTCGAAGGGACGTCCGGCAGGGTGAACGATTTGAAGATCTGTGACTTCCGGACGCACACGAAACTCTCGTCCTCCTCGTTCTGCCACAGCACATTGATCCGGAACGAGTAGCACAGATTCTGCTCCAGGTTGCGTACCGTGGCGGACCAGGCCGTTCCCCAGTGCACCACTTGCCATTGGTTGCGCTTGCAGCTGTAGCATTTCTCCACCTTGAACAGATCGAATGGGGCTTCCAGTGGTACGGGAAAGTCCCAGCGAAAACCGATGTTCGAAGTGGTTTGTTTCGTCAGGTATACGTTAAAGCCATCTTCCGAATGAATGAGTTTCTCCTGAGTTGGACTGGACATTACTGCTACCGGTTTGGTTTGATTTCGACGTCGCCATGTGGGCTCATGGAAACGCGGTTTGGCGGATGGTTGGATCGATGAACGAGTAAGGCGCATGCGTTTGGAATCGATGAAAAAGCTTCGAAGCGAGAGCTTGTAAGGCAGTGTCTCCTAGTGGTAAACGTGAGAAACTGACGATAGCTTTCGTTTGTGAAGTGGGATAAGTACACGGTTACGGTAGATGGCGAATCTGTGCTTGAAACAATGTAAAAAATAACTAGAATTAACTTAACGAGATAATCCAAATGAAAACTGTTAGATTCAAAACCAGAAATGAAAGTAAGATGAAGAAGTTCGTTGTGGAAGAGTTTCCATAAAAGGTATGCAAACTTATCAGTTTATTGAATGATTCTGATATTATTTGAAAAGGAAACTGCAATGAGCATTCAAAAGGGTCTAATTGCAATGATTGATCCTCTTCATCGATTTTCTCTTTAAATTGCTAGATCAAGAAAACAGTTTTCAGATAATTATCCAATAAGCTGCGTCCATACATTACGTAACGGTTATAGGGGGGTCAGCAATATCGTGATGTTACAAACGGGAGAGGGAATAATGCTTTGTTTTACGAAGCAAAGAGAAAAAAATAATGAATTTTCGCTTTTTTGTTTGTTTTTAAAGACTGGAACACGAAAAAAAAAATCGATTCCTTCAGTCAAAATTCATATCACAAAAATCTTCTTATTTTTTTTTTTTTAATAGTTCAGTTCATATATTTAAAGGAAAAAATGTTCGTTTATTCGTTTGGTTTGCCAAATCCGAACTGTCGTGCCTTCCTCTTATAAAACCTTATTCGCCGCCGAACGCCAGTTAAATTTAAACTGCTGCTCGTTTTCCATGGATTTAATATATTTTTTTTTTGAGATTCCGTTTGACCAAGGCCCAAAATCGTTCGATAAGGCATAGTTCTGGGCTGTTGGGAGGGTTGTGGTCTTTGGGTACCACAACCACGTTGTTCACATCGTACCACTCGATTGCCTTTTTCCCATAGTGGCAGCTCGCCAAGTCCGGTCAGAACAGCACAGGTCTATATTGACGTCAATTGTTCGCCTTGTTCGCCTTGTTTTCGTTCGTGTTTTACCATAGAATTTGTGTGGGTAAATCTGGTTTTTAGTGTTCAAAATTGTGCGTAAACAATCCTTTTTTCGACAATCTCTCCGAAATGTGTGGAATATCGATGAATTTCGTGCTGTCGTTTGCTGTAATCAACACGTCATCCTCGCATCATCGAATCCCGACCCGTCTCCATCTTTTCACTGTGCAGCCCCGTCAAAGCAGAATGGACCAAAAACAATTCGGAGAATGTCAGCTCGTTATCAACGAGCTCGAGCCGCTACGCTGTGGTTTTTGCGAAACATTCTACCACATCAGCCAGCAGTGTTGCGGTATTAATATCCGCAATCTGAAGGAACCATTATCAGCTGGAAAGATACTCTTCGTTTGCAATTCCTGTCGTGGGGTTCTACAGTTCTACTTCCAGTTCGTGTAGTGGCATCTTGAGTGGTCTCCGGATTTACTACCAAAATGTGCGTGGGCTGCGGACTAAAATCGAACCGTTTTTCCTGGCTGTCTCGGAGGCTGAGTACGATTTGATTGTTCTGACAGAAACGTGGCTGGATGCCTGGATTTACTCACCGCAGCTGTTTGGATCGCATTATTCCATCTTCTGAACCGACCGCTCTCCCCTAAACAGTGAAAAAATGCGTGGTGGTGGGGTTCTGATCGCCGTCACAACGAAACTGACCAGCCCATTTCAAGTCTGCTAGAGCAAATCTGGATTTTTGTGGATCTGCCAAGAACCAAGCTCAGTGTAGGCGCAGTCTACCTACCCCCCCCCCCCCCCCCCGACCGAAAAAAACGACTGCACGATCATCCATGAGCACGTTAATTCGTTGGCTCGATTTCGTCTCAATTGTGCCCCAATTCTCCCGCTCTCCTATTTGGCGACTACAACCAAGCTGGTTTACAGTGGCGTTTCTCTGACAGTGGCACACCATTCATTGATCCTCTGCTATCGCATATGCCGGTTGCTTGCTGTGAACTTCTGGACGGATTTAACATTCATGGGTTCACTCAGGCGAACATTTCTCCCAACCGTAATGGACGTTTGTTAGATCTTGTTCTGGCAAATGACTCAGCATTATCAGACACTTCTGTTTCTCTACCGGTCGAGCCACTGATCGATCTAGATGCCGACCATCCCGCTCTCGTCGATCATTAAGTTTATCCACTCCAATTGAATATATACCGTTTTCCGAGTGCTGCTTTCTGGACTTCCGCCGTGCCGATTAAACTGCATTGAACAATGCGCTTGCGGAAATAGATTGGCACTGTATCGAAACGGCCGCTAGTGTCAATGATGCTGTGGATTGTTTCAGCTCTGCGCTGGAAGAAGTTATTTTCCACACTGTCCCAGCAAGACATCCCCGGCAGAAGCCTCCATGGTCGAACCCACGCCTACGTAAACTAAAACGTCAGCGCTCCGCCGCACTCCGAAGGTACTGCAGCTCTCGCTCACCGTTCTACAAGCAACAGATTAATTTTGCAAGTCGTCGCTACCGAAACTACAACCACTTCCTCTATAATCGGCATGTGAGACGCACGGAAGCGAAAAGACATTCTCTGCTTGAACGGCAAGCAGTTTAGTTCGGTTTAAGCTCGCTCTCGTGAGTTGTTCGGAAAGATATTTTTTGAGATAGTGTTCGCGCTCTTTCGTACGTGATTTGTCGCGCGTGTGTGTGTGCCCCGAAATGGGGAAGCATCGCTCGCGAAGCCCGGTGAAGGACCAGGACGCCGGTGAAGGAAGCTCCGGTGTGTCCACATCGAACAGGTTTGCTGTTCTTCCCATCGATGAGCATACCCAGCCAGCTGCAAAAGGAAAGCGCAGCAAGAAGAGGAAGAAGAATCGGAGCCAGTCCGATTGCACGATTTCTCGCGGCGATGCTACTGCGACAAACGGTAGTGATGTCGGAGATTTCGGTGACGTTGCCGACACAAGCACGGCAAAAGTAAAGCTACCTCCGTTGGTAGTAAAAAATGCCCATCTTAACGATCTCATCGCAGATCTGGCTTCGCTGGGCGTTAAAGCCGAATTCAAGTTGGGCAGAGTCGGCACCAAGGTTATGCTCCGCACGAAAGTGGAGTATGACTTGGTCGTTGCCCACCTGAGGACTACCAAGGTGGAATTTTTCACCCACGACATTCCCGGCGAGAAACCATTCAAGGTCGTCATCAGGGGTCTACCGAATTTTGACCCGAAGCTGATTGAAGCGGAAATCAAGAACCGCTACAAGCTGGCCCCAACTGCCGTCTTCCGGATGACAAGGAGGGACGAGAACGTCAAAAGGTATCCAGACTGTCTTTTCCTGGTGCATTTCCAGAAGGGAACGGTGACGCTCAATGCGTTGAAGGCTATCCGCTCCATCAATTCCATCATTGTCCGATGGGAGCCATACCGTGGCGGCCGTCACGACGTCACCCAGTGTCAACGTTGCCTGAATTTCGGGCACGGCACCCGAAACTGCTTCGTCAAGCCGCGCTGTGGAAAATGCGCCCAAAACCATATCTCCTCCGAGTGTGTTGTCGACGAGTCGGAAGCGGCCAAATGCGCCAACTGTAATGGCGCTCATCAAGGGTCCGACAAACAGTGCCCCAAACGCGAAGATTTCAAACGGATCCGAAAGCAGGCGTCCACAAGAAATCAACCAGGACGAAAGAAGGAAAATACGCTGGCATTCAGACTGGAGGATTTCCCGCCTCTTCCTGCTACGCAACACGGTCAAGCAAATCCACGGGTGCAATCCGGCCCCCGCCAAGAAACGTCTGGTGCCTCAGCTGGACAAAGCTCTCCATCCCCCCCTGGATTCTGGAGACAACCACCAGCACAAAACGCCAATCCCGATCTCTTCTCTGCGGATGAGCTGATGAAGATTTTCGTCGACATGACCAGCGCTCTTCGCCAGTGCCGCAGCAAGCCCGAACAGATCCAAGTGCTCGGTAAGTTTATTATTCAGTATGGTGTCTAAACCGATACCTGTCGTCACATGGAACGCATGCTCTGTAAGAGCAAAAAGACTCGAGCTTGCTGACTTCCTCCGCAAGCATAGTATCGACGTGGGCCTCCTAACAGAGACCCATCTTAAATCCGGTGACAGCTTTTGGTTGCCTGATCACCACATTATCCGGCTTGATCGTATTGACTCCAGGGGGGGTGGTGTTGCGATCATCATCAAGAAAGGAATCAAGTTCTGCACGCTGCCGCATATTCGCACTTCTATCATCGAGGCCCTTAGTGTCGAGGTGGAATCACCAACCGGAAACGTCCGGTTCGTCGCCGTATACTGCCCTCGTCAGTGTGCTGCCAGTAATGGATTAGGCATCCAATTCAAGCATGATCTGACCACCATCACTCGCACGAGCTCACGATTCGTCATTGGGGGCGATTTAAATGCCCGCCACGAAGCATGGCGGAACTATCAGCGGAATCAGAACGGACGTCTGCTCTTCGACCACTCGCAGCATGGGCTGTATACAGTGAAATTCCCTGATGAACCGACATTCATCTCTCCGGCGGGAAACCCTTCCACGTTGGACTTTTTTCTATCGAACATTGGACTATCCAAACCGATGGCGATCAACGATCTCAGTTCCGACCATCAACCGGTGGTGGCTGAAGTCGGCACCCACGTGGAACCTGCTCAAAGCCTGCGCAAAGACTACCATCATGTCAACTGGGTGCAGTTTGGGCATGTGGTCGACAGAAACATCGATGAAAATCCGCCACTTGACACCGTAGAGGACATCGACCGGGCACTGGAAGGGCTCCACCAGGCCATATCCGTGGCTGACGAGACGTATGTTCGACAAGTTCCTGTGAGGGGTAAGTTTGTTTCCATTGATTCCCACACCCAATTCTGATTCGCTTGAGAAATGTGCGTAGACGCCAGTTTCAGAGGACTGGA